ATAAAGAGAAGAAGCCATTTAATTTAGGAACTTTGCACCAAATCTAGATAGAATTATTTATAATATGATATCTTGATTATTTTCATGTAAAAGTAAAAGTTAGAAATTATATATTAATGTGTAGTATGAACACAAACAATAACTGATAATATATTATCAGTTATTTTCAAGATTATCGACAATTTTGGTTTTTTGTTTTTCAGCATGACGATTTCAGGATGGGTGTTCATGATATCTGTTGGATTCAATGCTGCGATAAGGTCTCTTTTGCCCAAATCTCCTCTCTATTTTTATATTATATAGATTGAAAATGTCATCATCTAATTTAATCGATCGGACCTAATTAAAGATACATGAATTCTTACAATTTATGGCCACTCAAATATGCTAAACCACATTCTTATTGTTTTCTAAAGATCTTGAACTCTTTTTCTGTTTTCATTTTAACGAAATGTGTAAAATATTGGTGTTATGATGATGATCCAGTGTACGAGTGAGCAATGAACTTGGAGCTGGAAACCCTAAATCAGCAGCCTTTTCCGTAATCGTCGTAAACATTTATTCGTTAATCACATGTGTGATCTTAGCCATTGTCATTTTGGCGTGTCGTGACGTTTTGAGCTATGCGTTTACTGAGGGTGAAAAAGTATCGGCCGCGGTTTCTGATCTTTGTCCACTTCTTGCTGTAACGCTTGTTCTCAACGGAATCCAACCCGTCCTCTCCGGTAAAAATCATTTTTGTTATATTATATACATCACAATTTCGAAAAACGGATTTAGAAACAATTGGAAAATTTTCATTAAAGGTGTGGCGGTTGGATGCGGTTGGCAAACGTTTGTGGCAAAAGTTAACGTCGGATGCTACTACATTATTGGAATTCCTCTTGGAGCTCTCTTTGGGTTTTACTTCAAGTTCGATGCCAAGGTAAAATAGTTTTCTTGCCTCTCACATGGAATAGTTACCATTTACAATGATTCTTGTATTAAATATCAGACTAGTTCAAGGCTAATCTTAGTGTTTGAATTTGTTGATGTTTTAGGGTATATGGACGGGAATGATATGTGGTACGTTTATACAAACAATTATTTTGGCGTGGGTCACGTTTAGAACAGACTGGACGAAAGAGGTACTTATTCTCAAAAGTTTCAGCGGCCACATTTGCGTTTGCCTACGCGTATACGATCTATCTTATTTGATATTACTCTATGTTTGTTTCAGGTGGAAGAAGCTTCCAAAAGATTGGACATATGGAGCAACAAGAAAGTAGAAGTGGTTCCCGAATGATGACAATTGATGAAAGTTTGGTCAGCATATGCACCAATTGGATTCATCGTTTTTAAGATAACTAATGCAAATGGTCATGCTAACCGGAGAGTTAGTAATATAGTTCTACTTGTTATACGGTAGTAAAAAAAAATTAATAACTCTATTGTTTTTTTTTGTTGCCAACTTATCTTAATATTGATAAAACCTTACATTATCCATTTTACAACATAGCTCTGAGTGTTACAACGAGCTTGTTTAGCCAGGCTATCTACATAAGTATTTGCATTTCGAGAGATTTGCCGAAATCTAAAATCGCACCTGCTTGAAATCTTGATGATATCCTGCAATAAAACAGCAAAAGGTAGATGTTTCAATGCAAGCTCATCCACTTTAAATCCCTCTTTCTGCAGGCTTTTATAAATTATTTGCAATTCTCCACAAGATGTCACTCCTCTATAACCCAACTTATGTAGCTCCATCACTGCGATTCTCAAAATTTCTACTTCTGCTTCTTGAGAGGATTGGATTGGAGGGACAGCACCTGTACCTGTGAGCAAAATCTTTTGATTTTTATTCAATAATGCCCAACCAATTCCAGCTACCTGATGCGGAGAAACCCAAGAAGCATCAACTAAACAGGACAAATGATCCACTGCTTGAACAACTTGCTGTACAGTCTGAGGAATAGTTGTAGCAATAGAGTTAATTGCTTGACTAGAATGATCATTGCTAACTTGTTGATTGTGCTTATTATTCTCAGATGCTTCAATTC